CAAGCACTTTAAACTGCATGCCTGCACCGACGAGGGAGAGCTGGAGGTTAGTGCCATGTCTGGACGGAGAGACTGAGGCGTTTTGTGGACCTGCTCTGCTCCCGGTACCAGTCTGACTGGGCAGTAAATGAAACACGAAACTGGACGCTGATCCCTTCCTTAATAGTTGGCTCGCGTGCACAATGCTGCATTTCCTCTTCCCGCGTCCCTCCCATCTCTCTCTGCAAATGATCTTGGTATTTAATTTGACGTACATCTGGTTCCTCACCACTTTCCAACATGTTCTCCCTTTCACAGCTCTCCAGGTACTACGCAGCAGTCTGTCTTTATTCGTGCTCTTAGGCACTTAATCAGACAACGCCGCTGTAAATCAGGAGCCAAAACGGAAGTTGCTGGAAAAGCTCAGCAGCTCTGGCAGCATCTGTGAAGGAAAAGAGAAAATCAGAGTTTAACGTTTCGGATCCACTGACCCTTCCTCAGAACTGGGTTCCATAGTTAATCTGATTCTTTTTTTAGTTCACAGATGCTGCCTGAGCTTTTCCAGCAATTTGTGTTTCTGTTAATGCCCTGACATAAATCTGTTGCTTACTGCCTCAGTCTCTCAGCAGTCCCCCTTTATTCATACTCTAGGTATTTAAGCAAGCAATGCCATTATATAAATCTGTTGTTCACCACTCCTGTGTTTCAGCTGTCTCCCCATTATTTGTGTTCTAGGTACTTAGTTTAGCTCTGCCTCTGTGTAATAACTCCTCTTTATGATTTATATCTCTTAAAATGTTTTCTTTGAGTCTAAATGTCTGTGCGTTTCAGCCGGTTCTTTGGGATCGAGCTCAACACTCCGTTCGGAGAAAGTGCTGCCAGTTGTATTTTGAGAGACTATGTGACACACGCAGTCAGCATAGCGTTACTAACGTTACTTGCTGTCCTGCCCTCCGTCCTTGCTGTGTAGAACCAGGTCATCTCCTTCGAGTGGGAAGAGATGCAGCGATGGGACACGGACGAGGAAGGAATGGCATTCTGCTTTGAGTATGCCCGAGGGGAGAAGAAACCAAGATGGGTGAAGATCTACACCCCCTATGTGAGTGCGTCTCCAAGGCCTTTGGTG